ATAATAATAATAATAATAATAATAATAATAATAATAATAATAATAATAATAATAATGGGTTGTCCTTTAAAAATATTACGGAATTCGGAATATATTCGGGGTTTAACAAATAACGATTATTCATGATTAAAATCTGTGCTCCAGATTCTTACAAATTTCATATAATGTCAAATAAACGAGAAAAAAAAACAGATACTAATCTACAATGTAAACAACGAATGGAGCTTAACAAGCCCCAAGAATAACGTATTTATCCAGTCTTTGATGGTTTTAGCGAGTCACTTGGTATGTATGTTGTTGTTGAATAGAATGCAGCCATGTCAGTGTATACCTCTGTCGATGGAAATTGTCAATGCTTTCAATGCCTAACAAACTAATAGTCAAAATAATAAACGTAGAATTATGAAAAAATTCCCATTTAACCATTGAATTAACGACGCAAAATGTTCAATATTGTACTCACATTAGTTTGTTATTGTAAAGTCGTCTTCGTGCTTCCAACTCCATATACAGTATTGTTTATATGTAAAACGCCACCTGGAGATGTACCGAAAACAATTAATTATTCTTTTTCTAAAGCGCCATTCCTTTATGATGATGAGATAACGTTGGAGTTATGATGATATTGATGATGATTAAGATGGCGATGATGATGATAGTGGTGGTTTTGATAATACTGATGACGATGATGTTGATGGCGATGATGATGGGGATTATGGTGGTGATATTATGATGGTGATGATAATGATTTATCCACGATCTAATTTTATGAGTGGTTATGTTGATTCATTTGAAGTTAACAATAGGCACATACGCGCACTTACATTCCATCATGTTAGAGCACGTACTGATGCGTCTAAATATTCTGGGGTAGGCCTAAGATTTCCAAAAGGCTTTTACGAACTTGATTACAAATACTCATATTGTGGAGCCGCCATTTTATAGGTTTTAAAAACAGAGTTTAAAGGAGCATTTTACTGATGTTTAATATTAACATCATTATCATCATAATTATTGTTTATTATTGTTTTATATTAATGGGTATTTTAGACCAAATTTCAATAATCTACTTTTGATCTTTTTTATAACTAATGTTGGCGACTATTATTTTTAATTAACTATCAAATATTTCATCCTTCTGTTATGTAATGACGACTACATTATCTTTCATATCGCAACAATAATCTGCTGGTTAGTTTTAAGCTTAGATCATCGTAAATCAGATCATAGTTGATTAGGCCTGAATCTGGAAATATTAAAACTTTTAAACGCTAAGAAAATGATATTTTAAACAAGGTTAAATCAAATATAATCGGTATAGGCCTATTCGTTGTGATTCTGAGCTACCATAACGTAAGAATCAGCAGGAAAACAACTAGGTAAAAATTGCCCAGATTTTTGGGACAATGTTTTTGATCCCATCATTGTTGTTTTGTGTTCTATGAAACCTAACGGATCACAAGAATCCTCTGCAAGTTGGCAAAGGCAACTTGAAAACTATTCTTAAGCTTAAATAATGTTAAATCGGATTATCTCTAAAATATATAGCAACTGAATGGGTAAAAATCCAGAACAATAGCATACAATTCGATGTAATATTTACTTACTTCCTTTTC